AAGGTTTTGTAATAAGATAGGGGCTTATCAATGATTCTGATTGGGCAGATCCATCCTCCTTAGATATCAAGTTGGCACTAATATTCAGTGAGAAACACAGTTGCGGGATAGAATTGTTGTTGTTCATTTGTTTCAGTTGTAGCTGACTTTTTGTGACCCCCATTTGGGGTTTTCTTGGTAAAGACACCGGAGTGGTTTGCCATTTCCTTCTCTAGCTCATTTTTACAGATGAGGAAACTGAGGCAAACCGCCCACGGTCACACAGCTAGTAAATGTCTGAGGCTGGATTTGAACTCGGGTCTTCCTCACTCCAGTTCCGGTTCCCTTTTCACTGCCACGTAGCTGCTCTGGGGGATAGAACACCATCTTCAAACTGTGAGACATAGAGAGTTCGACTCTTCCCCAGTTGTGGGGTGAAATGAATACCTACCTACTAGGGTGAGTATGAGACTGGATCAGTATCTGAACTTCCCTGTTGAATAGGATTAGGTTAGTAGCTAGCAAAGCCCCTTGATGGTTAAAGGATTATGTTCAAAGTTCTAAGTAAAGAACTTAGTGACCTTGGGCAAGTTTGAACATTAATTTCCTCTCCTGAAAATGAAGGTTTAGATTTAATGACCTCTAAGATCCCATCCAACTCTAAGCCTATCATCCTAATTGTAAAGGAAAAGGTCCTGATCTCAGGGATAGGAGTTCTAGACTCTGCCCCTAGCGGCATGACCTTGGCAAAACCAGTTACCTCCACTGTGCCTTAGTTTACTCATCTGTAAAATGAAGGGTTTGGACTAGGTGATATCTAGTTCATAAGCTAATAGAATCTGAGGCTGAAAGAAGGGGAATTGAGATCCTTCTCAGGTCTAATATTCTTTAAGTAACTAATTTATATGTATTTTGTTATTAAGAGCAAAAAGCTCACCTGGCAGAGCTGAGGTGAGCCTGAGGTGGAATCCTAGTTGCCAGTGATGGGGAGATGTTGGTGAGTGAGGTCATGGTGGGGAGACTGCTGGTAGTGGAATGAGAACAGGACAGGCATCTTCTGGTAGGTAAACCTTATTGGGGAAAAAATCATCAGCTCTTCCCCAGATTACTAATTTCTGATCATAGATTGAAACTAAGATACGGGTACTGGCACAGTGACTTTAACATAGTAGACATTTAATAAAGGTTGGAATTGAATTAAATTATTTTTAGCTAAAGGGAAGTTAGGTATTACAGTGGATGGAGAGCTGGGCCTGGAGTCAGGAAGACCTGAGTTCAAAACTAGCCTCAGACACTTACTAGCTATGTGACCCTGGGCAAGTCACTTAACCTTAGTTGTCTCAGTTTCCTCATGCATAAAATGCTGGAGAAGGAAATGGCAAAGTGCTCCAGTATCTTTGCCAAGAAGACCCCAAATGGGGTCATGAAGAGGTAGGCACAACTGAACAATAAAAACTGATTGAAAGACTTTAAAGAAGGTGACTGTAGATGTTTATCTTTACATTCCCCCCACCCCATCTTATGTAAGACTAAGAATTCTACTTAGTGCAAATATTCATATTGTTCTTTGGCATTCAAAATGACCTAGCCTGCTCGCTTATAGGAACAGGGCTAAACTTTTTGTAGATTTGCTTTATACTTTGGAAGTAAATATTTCTTTGTAAAACCAAAAAGAAATTCTGAGAATTTCTGAATATTACCCAGAACATATTCAAAGACCCTTTAGCATAGGTAACAGACATTACAGTTATTTCATAGCACTGACTCAGGTCTGACTTGAATGTGCCAAGATGTTGTAGACCAGCCTTCTTGCCTGTGATATGCTCTAAATGCCACGTCAGAAGAGAAGTCCTTGGAATTTGTATCAATTTCCTGGGGAGCCTGAAATCCCAGTATTGTGAGAGTAGTTCTTTTCATTTTGTCTGACTTGGACTTCCATCAGGCTTCAGGACGGTCACCCACCACTCTCCTGGGAGCCCTCTGGCTGAATCCTTCATCTTCTTATTGCCTGGTACTTGGGAAGAGCTTGGCCTTGAGTAAAGGTGGTAGAGAGTTTCTGCTGTATGGATGGGGAAGCGGGATGGGGTGAGACTGGGACAGAAAATTTCATGAATGAAGGGACCAACGCTTCATTAATAACGGTTTCTCCTCCAGTCTCTTCCCTGCCACTTGGCCCTTACTAATTGTCTAGGAAGGATGTCTTACCCTACTTACTCTCTTCCCCAAAGTCCTTTGTCTTATTTAGGAAGAAATAAGTCTAAGGCTTGTCCTAATTCCTTTCTACTTCCTGTCTCTAAAAAGAGCCGTGACCAGGGAGGGAAAAACCTGGTCTTTGTCCCAAGGTGCCAAATTTAGAAGGTGTCAGTCCTTCAGAAATATAGAAATGGTGCAGCCCAGCACCTGGTTTGCAAGAATCATTAGTTAAGATGGAAAGCTACCAGAAAATGGGTTCAGGTGAGTTTCTCTTTCAGCTCATCCCATCTACTAGTCTCCCCAAGGAGAGGGCCTCATGCCCTTGTCCCAGGGTCTCCTCTCCACCATGATGTGGTGTCCTGTTCCTCACAAAGTCACCTAAGGGTATGCTTCATACACAAGCGCTTAAACCTTGCACAGAAATTTCTACTCATGCCTCTGCCCCAAACTCCCCACCTTTTCCCATAATATCCTGTTCTTAGGTGATACATTAAGCTCCACAGAAGTCAGGAGAATATGCTACAACTTAAAATAATAGAATTTCAAATTTTGTAAACCTTGTCCCATCTCTGTCTTGTACAGATGAATAAATTGAACTTAAAGATGATTATGTGCCTAAGGTCACATGGCTAGTTAATGGAAGAACTGAGACTAAAACCTAGGTTTCTGGACTCCCATTTCAATATCTTTTCCACTTCATTTTTCTACTTTCCATCTATATTAGGCAGGAAATATAGAGCTTCTGGGGAAAGAGGATTTATGCATCAAAAGTGGGAAAACAAGCCCTAGGGCAGGTATTGGGCCAGAGAGAGGGGGTTTTGGGAAGCAGAAACTATGGTAGCCAAGGGTACAGAACCAAGGAATGATTCCAGGGTCAGATACCTAGATCCCAGAGGTGTTCCTAGGTTACAGTGCTCATCTGGAAAGCATTCCTGGTTTGGATATGGAGAATGTCCTGGGCTTTTGAAGGTCATCACTTTGCTCACCTTGGGAGTGGGGGAGGGAATATTTGTCCTAGTCAGGTGCTCAGGGACAGAGGGGTAGGTAGGAGGCTGTCTGGAAATGTTGCTGTTACTGCCACTTCCCTTATTAATCTTTTAAGTTGAAAACAATTTAGAATGTACTTCACTTGCTTTTTTAACACTTTCTCCTTCCCTGACCTCTAATCAATGTCATCATGCCCCTTTCTCATACACAGAATCATGGTGTTAGATCTGGAAAGGACCCTAGACCTCAAAAGGACGGCAGAGGCCATCTACTGCAAGCCCTCCAGTTCACAGGTGAGGAAACAGGCCCCCAAAGATTAAATAGCTTTCTGAAGGTCACATAGATAGTGATAGAGCTGGTTTTTATACCCAGGTCATCTGACAAGCCAGTCCTTCTACTGTACTCCATGCTGCCATCCATTTCCCCCCATGTATTTCTCCCTTCCTTCTCCACAAGCCCATGATTTCTGCCTCGCCCTCTGGTGTATAGATATATCCATTCATTCATCTGTTCATTTATGGAAAAAAAAAGCTATTATGTGTCCCCTTAAAAGTGTTCTGTAATGACATATGTCCTTTTCTGTGAAAAAATTCTGTTACTTCTACTGGCTCAGGTGATCCCTAGTGACTGGTCAGAACAGATCAGAGGTGCAGAGGGGATATAGAGAAGGGTACTGAATATAGAGGAAAAGGAATATGTTCAGCAATGAATGATGCATCTCATCTACTGTATGGTGTCCAGGCATTGAGTCTATCAATCAACAAGCATTTATTAAGCACCTACTATGTATCACAGACAGCCAGCCTAGCAGAGTGGACAGAGAGCAGGAAGATCTGGGTTTAAGTCCAATCTATGACAAACGTAGGCTGTGTAACCCTGGGCAAGTAGTAACCCCAGGGGTGGGGAACCTGTGGTCTCGAGATCCTCAAGTGCAACCCTTTATTCAGTCAAAGGGCTGCACTCAAGGACCTAGAGGGCCACATGTGGCCTCCAGGCAGAAGGTTCCCCACCCCTGTAACCTCTCAGTACTTTCTAGGCAACTCTCTAGGACTCTAAGTTGAAGAGAATGTGCCATCTTGTATTGGTCCAAGGGAGTTTCCTATGCCAGGGAATTCCTTAGCCACTGGAATCACAGGTCCAGTCTTCATCCCTACTATGTGCTAGGGCTTGAGGATACAAATACAAAAATGAGTCAGTTTCTGCCCTCCAGAAGCTTACATTCTGATAGGATGATACAACACATACCCTGAACGGTCCTCTACCTAAGTATAGCACAGAACCCAGGTGAGCTAGTGGACTGTAAGTATAGATGTGAGCTTTAGGAATCGGGGGAATAAGGGAAGATAGAAATGAAATAGAAAGGGTAAATGTGCCTACAAGGTACTAAGAATACCCCGTTTGAATGTAGACATGGAGAAATCATTTAACCCTTTCAGAGCCTCAATCTTCTCATCTGTAAAATGGGAATATCTGTGACACATCTCACTTTTTAAAGGATCAAATGAGATAACGTAGGTAAAGCAAACCTTACAGCACTATGTCAATGTTACTTTTCTGGTGGGGTGCTGAGGGGTTTTTGGGGGTGGGGTGGAGTGGGATGCTTTTATGGAGGTTTTCCCCAGAGCCTGGGTAGCAGCTCCCTGGGCACGCACGCCTGGTGTAACTCTCAACGCTCACACTTTCGCCAAGTCGGAAATTACGACTGGTGGAATTGTCGCTAGACTCTAGCGCCCCCCGGTGGCGGCCACGCGGCAATGTTCATGCTCACTTCGAAGGCCCGAATAAAGTTTCCTTCTTCAAATAAACAGGAAGTGCGTGCCAGGGCCGGGGCACTCTGGGCCTTCCGGGATGAGAAGGAAGCCGGGGGGCTGCGATGAGCGATATCGTGGAGAAGACCCTGACGGCGCTGCCTGGGCTCTTTCTACAGCACCAGGCGGCCGGCGGCTCCGGGGTGCCCAGGGTGTCCGTCTCCTCCCGGCTGGGCAGCCTCATCCGCAGCATCACCGCGCTCACGTCCAAGCACGTAGGTGGCCTAGGAGGGGAGGCGGGGCGAGGGGGCGGCTCCTCGGGCTCCCCCCTCAGCCGAGCCCTCCCCAGCACACCCCTCAGCCGGGCCGGAGCCCCCGAGCTCACCCTCAGCCGGGTCCCCCAGCCCCGGAAGCCCTCCCCACTTAGGGCCCGTCCGGGGCCCAGGCGCGCCAGGGACTCTCCTCAGCCTGTGCCCCCCTCCCCCGGGGTCCCCTCTCAGCCGGGGCAAGGCCTCCTGCTCGTGGGGTGGGGTCATGCTGGGCTGGGCTGGGAACGACCGGGGAGGAGGGAGGGCGGCCCCCGGCTTTGACTCAGGTGGAGGGGCAGCTCAGGAGGCTTTCGCCAGACTAGTGCCTGAAGCGTGTGAGGCCTCCCCTGGGGTTTTCCTGCCACAGTTTTTCCTCCTGCTCGAGTAACTTTAGACCCTGACTCCCCCCCCCCCCCCCCCCCCCAGCAGGGACTATTAGATTTTTTTTGGCCTTTATTTGCACCCACAGCGCTTAGTACTTAGTAGATACTTAATAAATGTTTATTGAATTGAATTAAATTCAACTGAAGCTGAGAAAGATCATGGGATTTGCAGATTGTAAGGGCTGAGAAAGAATCTGGTCTCGGGTCTCCCTGACTGCTAGTGACTGACTGATCCATCTCCTCTCTGGAAGTAGGAGTTTTCTCACATGAACTGCCAGAGACAAATTCACTTTGATCAATGTTTATTAAGGGTCCCCAAAGCTGAAAAAATGTCAAAATGCCTGCCCTAAAAGGGTTTAAGGTCTTCTGGAGATTGTGTGTGTGTGTGTGTGTATGTAAGTATTATTGACTTACAGAGCAATGGTTATTGATAATAATGGTTACTGATAATAATAGCTCTCATGTATATAACACTCTTAAGGTTTGCAAGAAATTTTAGGTGTCATCTCGTTCCTTGCAACAATCGGTGCTATACCTATTTTTACAGATGAGGAAACTGAAGTTTTTGAGGCATGCTTACCCCCAATTCCCCTCCCTCCCAAACTTTTCAACTTACTTGTGTATGTTGTCTTCTGGAATTAGATCTTAAGCTCTTTGAAGACAGGGACTGTCTTTTTCTCCCTCTTATTTGTATCCTTAGCTCTTAGCACAGCCCCTGGCATATAGTAAGCCTGTAATAAATGTTTATTGAATTGAACTGAACGGAGGCTGAGAAAGATCACGTGGCTTGCAAATAGTAAGAGTTTGAGACAGGTTTTGACTTTAGGTCTCTGATTCTTAAGTCCAGTACTCTTTATCCCCTGAATCCCTAGACACAAGATAGCCTATCATATGGGCTAAGGAGAGAAGGAAGGTGATCTTGGAAAGTTTGAGGAGGAAGAGATTGTTTTCATTTGGGAGGAGGCTGTAGATCAGGGAAGACTTCTTAGTAGAAGTGGCATCTTAGAAAGATCTCATTAGGAGAGAGGTGGCCGGGGTACCTTGAGGAATTTGAAAAAGATGAGAGATTTATAGGTATTGTGGCATAGTGGATGGAGTGCTAGACTTCCACTCAGGAAGACCTGGGTTTAAGTACTGTCTCAAATATATATTGACCCTGTGACCCTGGATAAATCAACTCCCAATGCTCCATGAAATTCCAAGACTAAATTGGAGAATAGCCTGATCTTTATTGGTACTTGAGAGTTCCTTACACCAGAGAAATCATGAATGTAGACCAAATAATGTAAGTGCATGCATACACACACACACACACACACGTAAACATGTACATATAATATATGTCTATATTTTATGTAAAATACAGTACATATAACCTCACTTGTGGTTCCAAGAAACTGTAGCATGTGCAACAAGCCACACTTTGGTAAAACTGTCTCTGCAGATGGGCTAACTGAGGGTAACTAACAGGCCTCAAACCTGTTAGTGAGTTAGGGGGATGTCACCCCCAAGTATGTGAAGACTTCTCCCTGTGGAATGGGCAGATGAGAACAATTTGTTCCAATAGCCATAAAGGCAACTGAAGCAGGTGCTGTGGAATGCTTAGAGCTTGGTCAGATATCAAAGATGCCAAGGTCATCTACTGCATCCTGGGCTATTGCCAGTCTTGATTTTTGTCTTGCCACTGGACTTGGATGATTATGGAAGAGAGAGTGAGGCTGACGACTTTCCATAACCCTACCTTGCTTAAAATCTATTTCATGGGCAAGTCAGAATATCACCCTTGTCATGTCATTGGTCCTCTTTGAAAACAAAGGACTAACAACGACATATAATAGCATTTGTAGAGTACTTTCAAGTTTGTAAAGTGCTGTACTGTACATATATGTACATATGTTTTCTCATTGGACACTTACTGTGAGGTGGATGTTATTATCCTCATTTTACAGATGGGGAAAATGATTCTGAGAGAGGTTAAGTGATTTACCTGAGGTCACACAGCTTGTAAGTGTCTGGGCAGAATTTGAACTCAGGTCTTCCTGACTCCAAATCAGTGATGCTTGCCCATTGCAATACCTAGCTGCCAAATGTATATAGAGCGTGGATCTTCCAGTGTTGTGAGTACCAAATGAGATAATGTATGCAAAGTACTTTGCAAATGAATACTATAAATATCAGCTATTATTATTTATTAGTAATCTTAGTATCATCTTAATTCATTAGAGTACAGATAGAAAATGTCCTTGCTGTCCTGCTGTTATTATTTTATGTGCATTGTTCTGTGGATCGTTGAGCAGGTGACTGGAGTAACTTTTTTGCAATTTGAATAAAAGTTTTGGAATGTAAGCTGATTTTTAGTTGACTGCAAGCTTCTTTGGTACAAATACAGTAACAGACAAGGTAACTTGTTATGCATTTCATCGTGTTTGCACATGATTATTATTTCTTCTGTTAGGTCTCTATATTTTGAAAGCTTTTTATTCCAGATAGCTTGGAGATTATTGGTATTTAGTATGGCTACATCTATTAAAATGTTATCCTTACATTTTTCCAGATCATTGTTATGTCTGGGGGATTGTAGGCAACAGCTTTGTATGTGCTGACATGCCAGTTCTAATACAGTGTATTTGAATTCTCACAGATATTTTGAGGTCTTTATTTGTGGTATTAAGATTTGTCATCTTTTAGTTTATGGAAGATAGTGGGCTTCTAATGTATAATTCTGCCCATCTGGTCATATCTCGCTAGGTATTTGGTAGGTATTAAAGCATTATGATTATGATTATTTCAGGACAAAGTTGGGGAACAGTTGATGGTTTCATTTCAGTGGAATTATATGTGGGAAGGTGGGGAGTAATGTCAAATGAGTCTGGAAGAATAGGCTGGAGCTAGATTCTGGAGGGCCTTAAATGCCGCATTAAGGAATATACCTTTTATTCTGTAAGAAGTAGGGAGCCAATGAACAGGAGAGTATCATGTCAGACTTTTGCATTAGGGATGTTGTTTTGGCAGCTGCATGAAAGTTGGGTTGGTGAGGAGAAACATAGGAACCAAGGATATCAGTTAGACTATTAAAATGCCTCAGGGTGAGAGGTGATGGGGATGTAAACTGTCACACATGTGGAGCACTTAGTTGAGGGATCTTTCAAGCCTTCCAGTGTCTTGTTAGGTATAAAGTGAAGGGATCTTATAGACACTTAAAATTTGCTGAGAAACAATCAACTCCAAAGCTCCTAAAAAGTGGTAAGTGTAATATATTTACTAAAGACTGCTAAGTGCCAAGTGCAACTTGTACAGGCATGAGTCAAGCCTTCAGGCATTTATAAGCTAAAAAATTATTTTGCCATTTCATTATTGAAGGAAAGCTGTCATTGAAGGAATGTTGTAGCAACTATAAAAAGGGAACCTTAGAAAAGACCTCAATTAGAAGGAGTCATACTGAAAATCATTATTTAAGGAGTTGATGTCTGTGGTAAATTACTATTTACTCAACTGTTTAATAAGATGTTATTTTGTCCTGACCCCTCTCAAAGTGGAGAAAATATATCCTTTTGCATTTGTTGCTAACAAAAAAGAGCAGACTATAAAGCAAAACATGACCTTAAGGGCTTTCTTCCAGCAAGAGTTTATATATGCATATATTATCCTTTACACATGTAACTACTGGTAACTGTATTAAGTTACTGACTGATGAGTATTAGGAAACAAAGCACAAAAGAGGGAGATACATTCTCACCAAAGGTATTTGGCATTGTTGTGGAAGTTCTATCTAATGCCCAAGTGGGATAGGGGTTCACTCAAGATGCACCATTTTATAGATCATATTGTGCTGATTGCATCAAGCCCCAAAATATTACAATGCCTCTTTAATTAGGTCCATGATTATTTGAAAGAGATTGGCATCTTATAATCCATATGGAAGGACCAAGTGAATGAAAAATGTATGTTATCTAGCTAGGCCATAGAGTTGAATGTCAGTTCATTGGATTAGTTACTTAGTGCGTATATGTATGATAATATTGGTATGAAAGAACTGGAAACTAAGGAGGTGCTATCAACTGAACAAAGTGTGGTATAGGAACATAATGAATTACTATCATGCTGTAAGAAAAGGTGAAAGAGGGCAGGTTCAGAGAAACTGAGGAAGCTTCATGTGAACCTATGGAGAGTGAAGGAGCAGAACCAGAACAATTTATAGTATAAAAACAACAAACTTTAGAAGACATGAGCTCTGATGAATCCAGTGATTGGCTATGATTTTGGAGGACTGAAGAAGGAGAATTTTACCCACCACCTGATAATGAGGTGATAGACTAAATGTACAGAATGAGAAACACATTGTTGAAGATGGCTGAAGTGGGAATTTGTTTTGCTTGACCATGCCTATTTGTTACAAGGGTTATTTATTTTTGAGGGAGTAGAAAAGTAGGTGGGCCAGAGAGAAAAATACATGTTTGTTAATCAAAGAAAAATTTTAATTAAAAAAGGATATTACTGGCAGGTAGACAATGAGTTGGGCCCAAAATTGAGAAGTAGGAAGAGTGAGGGGTAGGTTACTTTTTGGGAAATTGCATAGTGCTTTTAATTGTCCCAAACTATTCCACAGCACAGAACCTCAACATTTTTTTCTTTTATCACCAGTGTTCTTCCAGTGCAAATCTTAGAACCCCTCATCCTCCAAAGAATCAAAGTTACGAGTGACCCAAAGGACAGATAGTTAGGCTATAGTGTATCTTTAGCAATAATCTGTAGACAGGTGGCATAAAGGATATACAAGAAATATGTGATTGACACATGACATCTTAACTTTAGACCTGGAAGGAATGTTAGTGGTCAGGGTTCAGTTCTTTTATATTATAGATGAGAAAACTGAGATCCAGAGAAATTTAAATGAGTTTTCTCAACTCTTCTCTGGGTTCTCAACTCTTCTCTGGACTAAGCTTGATCATTAAAATTACATGGACTTTAAAAAAAATAAATTCTTCCATTTGACACTTATCTCCTCACGCCTGTATTCCTGAGGCATGTCCTCAAAGTACATATACTATATCAAGAGTTGAGAAAATGTAGCTCCTCCTCTTTGCAGACATAATGGTTATATACTCATAAACATTTTATTGATCTGCTTTTTTCCTCTTTGTTTTTTAATCTTTAAAAAATTTTTTTATAAGAAATAGTTCATTACGTGGAGTAGGAGGTAAGATGGGATATATAAAAAAAGACAAAAGGATTTGACAAAATTTAAGGTTTTTTTTTTAGAGTTCAGATTTAACAGTTCTGGAAAACATTTTGGAATTATTAAAGTTCTGAATCCATACATACTCTTTCTTCCAAGATCCTCTTACTAGACATATATCTAGAGGAGGTCAAAGAGAGAAAGACCCTACAAATACTAAAATATTCATTACTACACTTTTGTGGTATCAAAAGCTGGAAACAGTGGGTGCCCATCAATTGGGAATGGCTGAACAAATTTTGAAAGAGTATATGAATATTATGGACTGTTATTATGCAGAAAGTGATGATAAATATGAAGAATTCAAGAAATTCTCATAGAGTAAGTATAGAAAGACTTATGAATTGATGTGGAATGAAGTAAGCAGTACCAGTAGAACAATATATACATAACCACAATAATGTAAATGACAAAACTAAAAGGAAGCAGAGTAATTTTAATGACTGATTTGGATTTCAGAGGGCAATGGGACCTACCTCCTCCCTTCTGAGCTAAGGTAGTAGATAACACTTAGAAAATGTTTCATGTGCTATCAACTTGGGTCAGTAGGTTGGTTTTACTTCTGTGTTTTTCTTTGTTATAAGGAAGGATTCATTGCTAGAGGAGGATTTATATCCAGATATAACTGGTGTAAAAGCAAAAGATATCTGCAAAACTTATTTAAAACAGAAAATCTCTTACTCTGGATTTTCATTGTTTTTCTCTTGTCTTTCTTTAACTTCAGCAAGACATTTCAGTATTTATGTAGCAACATACCTGGAGGAGACAGGCAAAGGAAAGGAGTTCTTCCACTACTTTCCATCTTCCATTCTTTTATACTAACTTCATTTAAATTTGATAACAGTCATGAGGGGTCGTAGAAATTTGAGTGAAGACAGGAATGGTTTATTTGTGATGAAGCTTTTAGGCTATCCACTACTGAGTTTGATAGTGAAAGTAATATGAGGAGGGATAGTAATGCATGACCCATAGCATTCTTTGGTTGTAAAGTTGTCGTGTAATCCCTGAGATATCATGGGAACTGGATACTTTTGATGCCTTTAATCATATTGAATGCAAATAATCTGGTTAGTCGTAGTGCTATAAAACTTTAAATTTATCAAAATAACTGATTTGTAAAGTAGCATTTTAATTAATATTATTTATGATAATTTAAAAAGAACGTGATCCTGTGATTTAAAAGCCGCTAGATGGCACTGTGGACAGAGAATTGAGAAGACCTACATTCTAATGATACCTTAACTCTGGGCGAGTTACTTAATCTCTCAGTCTCAGTTTTCATATTTGTAAAATGAGAATAATTATAGTATCCCAGCTCATAGGGTTGTTGTGAGGAAGAAGTGAAATAACATGTAAAGTGCTTTGCCAACTTAAAATGCTATATAAATGCTAACTATTATTGTTATTAATATTTAATTATAATATGTTTATACTTTTTACAGGAGGAAGAGAAATTAATTCAGCAGGAACTGGCTAATCTAAAGGCAACTGTTTCTGCACCCGGTACCACATTGGTAAGTTTGAAAAGTTAATGCAAATAGGTTTTAATGTTCTTTTGTATTTGAGACTGTTGTTTGGTCATGTTAGAGAATAGAACAATATGTAGCATGTAGTTCACCAATTAGATGAACTCTATATGTGTTTATCAGTATGAGACATAGCAAGGGCACCATTGGAGCACTCTGGATGTCCACCAGTCATCCCTTGTTCTTTCCACGTGACTAGCCTCTGCTCTTCCTATCATAAATTCCTTGATGACATCTTTTATTCCTGTTCTTCTTTAGAATCCCTTGTTGGTTTTATGTTGTAGCTTGCTCACACCCACCATGCACCTTTCCGTTTGGTTCACTGCTACAGCAACGTGGGTAGAATGTTCATATTCAAAATATGGGACTTTGCTTTTCATGAGAGACTTGATTAATAAAAGAATTTTTCATTTTCCTGAAAGCAGTCCAGCTGGTTCTCTTTCTGTTCAACTTTGGGCCCAATTTATTGCCATCTATACTGTCTGTCCTAGATACACTTACTGTTGGATAAACTCCATATTTGTCCTTCCAAATGCATCTTGTAATATAGCAGGTAGACATTTTTAGCATATATCTACCTGTTTTATGCTTCTTCTGATGCTCATTATGAGAGGAGCATTCAACAGGGTTCTTTCTGTTATATCTTCTAAGGACTCAGGAGCGTGGTGTAGTGGATAGAGCACTGAATTTGGTGTTAAGAAGACACGTTGCTTAACCTCTCTGTGTCTTAATTTCCACATCTTCTAAAATAAGGGGTTGGGCTTGGTCTAAATCTATTATCCTATGCATCTTGAATGATTTGTCATATGTGGATAGGAGATACTTTGTTATAAAAGAGCCTGTAGGGCAATATTTTGTTTTACAGAATCAATTGCTTTTTCATAACACACAAGCACAGTGGGATCATAAGTCCTCTAGATGTTTCAGTTAAAATATTATGAAAGCCTAGTTTTTCCCTACTAATACCTTCATCAAGGATGCCCTTGGTTTATATATAAGTGACTCTCATAAATATATCATATAGAAAGGAGAGTAGGCAGATAGGGCAGTAGTTAATGATACTCTCTTTTTCTCTTTTTAAAATATTTTATTTTTCTAGTTACATGTAAAAACAATTTTTAAAATTAAAAAAAATTTTTTTTTGAGTTCCAAATTTTCTGTTTCCCCTCTGCCCTCATTGAGAAAGCAGACAATTTGATATAGGTTATACATTTGCAGTTATACAAAACATATTTCCATATTAGTTGTGAAAGAAAACACAGACCAAAAAAAAAACCCCAAGAAAAATAAAGTTAAAAAAAGCATACTTTGATCTGTATTCATACTTCCGTTCTTTCTCTGGAGATGGATAGCATTTTTCATCATAAGTCCTTTGTAATTGTTTTGGCTCATTATATTGCTTGTAATAGCTAAGTCATTCACATTTTTTTTTATATAATATCTTTATGATATTGCTGTTTCTGTGTGCACCATTCTCTTGATTCAGCTCACTTCACTCTGCATCAGTTCACGTAAGTCTTTCTAGGTTTTTCTGAAAGCATCCTGCTTATTATTTCTTATGGCACATTAATATTCCATCACAGTTATATACCACAACTTGTTCAGGCATTCCCCAGTTGATGGGCATCCCCTTAATTTCTAATTCTTTGTCACCACAAAAAGAGCTGCTATGAGTATTTTTGCACATACAGGTGCTTTTCCTTTTATTTTTTTAAATCTCTTTGGGATATAAATTTAGTAGTGGTATTGCTAGGTAAAAGGGTATGTATGCAGTTTTATAGTCATTTGGGCATAGTTTCAAATTGCTCTCCAGAATGGTTACATTAGTTCACAGCTCCACCAAGAGTGCATTAGTGCCTCAATTTTCCCACATCCCCTCCAACATTGATCATTTACCTTTTCTGTCATATTAGCCAATCTGACAGGTGGTGCCTCAGAGTTGTTTTAATTAGCATTTCTCCAATATGGATTTTGAACATTTTTTCATATGACTGTAGATAGCTTTGATTTCTTCATGTGAAAACCATTTGTTAATATCCTTTGACCATGTATCAATTGGGGAATGACTTGTATTCTTATAAATTTGACAGTTCTCTATATATTTGAGAAATAAGGCCTTTATCAGAGAAACTTAATTTTTTCATTGTTATGTTTACTGTATACTTCCCACCATTCTATTTTCCCCCCTGTTATCTTTCTTTCTCTCTCTCTCTCTCTCTCTCTGTGCCCAGGCCCTCCTCAAAAGTGTTTTGCTTTTAACCACAGCCTTCCCCAATCCACCATCCCTTCTATCAGCCCCTCTTCCCGCATGCCCCTCCCCCCTTTATCTTACTCTCTTACTTCCCTATAGCATAAGATAAATTTTTATACCCAACTGAGTGTATGTTATTACCTCTTTGAGCTAATTCCGACGAAAGTAAGGTTCAGGTGATATCTGCCACTCCCCCATTTCTACTCCACTGTATAAGCTCTTTCATACTTCTTTTTTGTGAAATAATTTACCCCATTCTACTTCTGTCTTCCCCCTTCTCCCAGTGCATCCCTCTTTCTTACCCTTAATTTTATGTTTTTAGATATCATTCCATCATTGCCAAATCACACCTGTGCCCTCTGTCTACGTATATTCTCTTTAACTGCCTTAATAACGATGAAGTTCTTAGAAGTTACAAGTATCAAGTTTCCATGTAGGAATGTAAACAGTTTCACCTTATTGAATACGTTATGAGTTCTCTTTCCTGTTTACTTTTTTATGCTTCTTTAGTCTTATATTTTAAAGTCAAATTTTCTGTTCAATTCAGGTCTCTTCATCAGGAATGCTTGAAAGTCCTGTTTCATTAAATGTCTCTTTTTTTTGTCCTGAAGGATTATACTCAGTTTTGTTCCTTTGTTCAAGGCTTGTGATCCTTTAATGTAGATTTGTCTTGTGTTAGTCTGACTGTGGCTCCATGATATTGGAATTGTTTCTTTCTGGCTGCTTGCAATATTTTCTTCCTGACCTGGGAGTTCTGGAATTTGGCAGTAATATTGTGGGGAATTTTCATTTTGAGATCTCTTTTAGGAGGTAGTAGATTCTTAAAATTTCTATTTTACCCTATGATTTTAGGATATCAAGGTAGCTTCCTTGATAATTTCTTGAAATGTGATTTCTAGGTTCTTTTGTTGATCATGACTTTTGGGTAGTCCATTAATTTAAAAATTATCTCTCCTTGATCTATTTTCCAGGTCATTTGTTTTTCCATTGAGATATTTCACATTTTCTTCCATTTTTTTTATTCTTTTGATTTTGTTGTGTTGTTTCTTGATGTCTCATGGAATCATTAGCTTCACTTTCCCAGAACTGCTTTTTTATCTCCTTTTCCATTTGGCCAATTCTGCTTTTTGAGGAGTTCTTTTCTTCAGTGAATTTTTGTGCCTCTCTTACCATTTGGCCTATTCTGTTTTTTAAGGTGATATTTTCTTCAGTAAATTTTTGTACCTCCTTAATGAAGCTGTTGACTCTTTTTTCGTGATTTTTCTTGTGTCACTCATTTCTTTTCCCAGTTTTTCCTCTGCCTCTCTTATTTGACTTTGAAAATCTTTTTGAGTTCTTCCAGGAATTCTTTTTGGGCTTGAGACCAATTCACATTTTTCTTTGAGGCATTGGATTTAGCTGTTTTTGACTTCATTGTCTTCTGAGCTTATGTTTTAACTTTCCCTGTCACCATAGTAACTTTCTATGGTTGAGGGTTTTTATTTTGGTTTTTTTTTGGGTGGTTGTTGTTGTTTGCTTTTCCCCAGACTATTTCCCCCAGACTTTTAACTTTATGTTAACATTGTGCTCCACGTCTGGAGTATGATGGGCACTGTCCCAAGCTTATAGTTTTTCATGCTGCTGTTTGCAGAGATACTTCTGGGGGGGAGGGGTCTGTAAGTTTTTAGTACTTCCAAGGTGGTGTGATCTAAGTAGAGGTGTGATCACTTCTCTCTTGGCCTGTGCTGTGGTCTGTGAGCAACCAAAGACATTCTTTTCTACGCTAGAACTGTGATCAGGATCCCTGTTCACTTGTGGCAGCACACTCTAGTGTACTAGTGCTCCTCCTTGCTCTGGGACTATGATCCGAAACCTCGTATGGGGAGTGCCGTGGAGAGTACTGCACATAGTGCCCACAAAGGGTTCGCAGTAATCTCCTCCTGTTTGACCCCCTTACTGTCTGTGGGCTGAGAGCTTTGAAAGCTACTGCTGCTGATTCAGTCACCCCCAAGGCCTACTGTGACATGGCCTGCAGTTGGGGTTAAGTGATTTGCCTAGGGTCACACAGCTAGTAAGTATCATGTGTCTGAGGCCAGATTTGAAATCAGGTCCTCCTGACTCCAGGGCTGGTGCTTTATCCACTGTGCCACCTAGCTGCCCCCCTGTTTCTTCCTTTTTTTAAAACTATTTTCTGATCTTACCTCAGAAGAGTTGATGGTTTGATTACAAAGAAAGCTGACTCAGAGATAACTCCTATAGCAAAAGTGAGTCTTCATCCCGGTTAAAATATCATCTGTTTTATACTTTATGGTATCATTGGGTATTTGCCACATACACCATGTATGTTTCTTTCTTGAAGAAAGTATTCATGGTATGGTGGCATGAGACTTTGGTATAACTTACCAATCTCTGGGCTCTTTCCTTCTTTCTTATTGGACCTTGCTGTCCCAGATAGTTCTGTCATCCATACTTTTTTCCCACCTTTGCACTGAAGTCACCAAGTATCCGAGTGCATGTTGATTTGATTTGGAGGCTCTTATTCCTAGAATTCCTCAACCTCTTCATCCTCAGCAACCGGTGTTCTTACATAAACTGCAGTTATTTTCTTTTCTTTTTTTTTTTAAAGATTGAAAATTTGCTTTTTATTTCAAAATCATAAATAATGGAAGCATTGTTCAGACCATTTCCTAGACATATTATTTTTCAGTAACTTAGGATGTTAAAGATTTTATCTCTGAAGGTCTGTAAACAGCCCAAGATGATATTGAGATCTTGACTGGCAGGTGTGGCCTCTTCAATTTGTAGAGCATTAGAAATTCACAGTGAAAGAGCATATTTTTCTGACATGTTTTACAGATAGTAGAAGTATATTTTTAGCAGCATCAAATAGGACAACTTGTTTCACATCTCCAGTTTTACATAAATGCAGCAAGTATGTCAACTCACATTTAAAGAGAAGGGGAAAACAAAACAAAAGAAAAACCAAAACTCAGTGGCACTCCTTATCCATGGAAATTTTACATAAAAGTTTACTAATGTCCATGTTATCAAATTTTCTACAGATGTCTTTAAATTATTTTTGCAGATACAGTGGAGACAGTCTACATTTGAAACACTTTTACAAAGGATTCAGTAAACAACAATAAATACCATTTTCCCTTTTCAAAATAAAAAGTACATTTGCAGGGGAGGGAGGAGGGCTAACTTCTCCACTATATTTTTAGTATGTTTTGAAAGGATTAAAAACCATGGAAAGTATATTTATTACATACTAGGCCCTAACTACACATTTTTTAACCTAGTTATCAAAGACAAACAAAATGGATTTCAATTAAATTGCTCAAATTTAGTGAGAGCAGGTGCCTGTGTGGCAGGTGGACAATATTAAAAATTTCTTTAAAAAATTAGCAATTTCATTAAATAAAAAACAAGAACAACCAACTGCTGTTTCCCTTAAATATTAAGTTGAAGCCTGATATGTGCTGCCATGTCCTGTATACCCAAGCAACTGCAGTTATTTTCATGGTGGCCTTTTTGCATATATTTATCATCAATATTGAAATATGCAATGACAAAATATCTCATGAAATAATGTTTCCTGTTGTCTCTGTGCATCCAGTAAAACCTCTTTCATCAACTTCTTGGCCTCTCAAAGGAATGTCTGTGAGCCATCCTTCCATTTAGCTGCTATGTCCTTCTGCTTTAATTTATAGCAAGAATGTCAAGATTGATATGCTTTAGCTCCTCTAATAATATGTCTACTCTTTGGCCATTGGTCAAATATTTTATATTTAAAGTACCAACTGTCAAAAGTTTATTGATAGTCTAAAAGTTCTGTGATTCTTCACATTTTTTTTCTCCTTTCCTGCCCCTCTGTCAGTGTCCCTGCGAAAGCAGAAAGAGACTGTTCAGGCCTGAGCCATTTTTTGTTTTTATTTGTTTTTTTGGGTGGCCATACTCAGAATTAATCACCAGGTGCCTGTCTGTCATTAGCTAGTTTGGAAGTTGGAAAACAGAGTCAGTCTATTACAGGGGCCACTCTAATCCCTTCCAACATTGTAGATACTACGAAAGCTTGTGTTCTGGTGGTAGAGCCTTTGAGACCCCAAGGTCACCATGCCATGATGGAGCATTGGGGTAGGATTTGGTGGAGGACAAACTAGAATACAATTTTATTAATTTGCAGTGAGAAATGTAGCTGTTGAATTGATTAAATGCTTGCCAGCTGTCAGAAGACTTTTCAATAGGAAAATTAACTTAAAATATACATTAAGGGAAAGGCTTTTTGGAAGGATAGAACTTAGTAGTAGGCAAGCCACCTGGGCACAATACATTGGAAGGTGTGTGTGTGTGGGGGGGGGGCATATGTGGGCTCATACCCAAGTATATTTTAATACTTTTTTTTATAAATGCACCTATTTTAATGTCAGAATTTTTGAACATTTTAAAAACGTGGCTTTGTGTAATGAGAATTTTTATTCTGCAGTCAGCTAGTCACAGTTATAGCTTATACACTTTAATATTGCCATACTGCTTTAATAAAACATTGTATCATCAATCAAATTCTTATACATATGACATACATGGTTAGCCTGTAACATAGGTCTTGGTCCTGTGTCTGACACCATCATTCTGAGTGACTTTATTGTAGATTGGTCATAAAAGAACATTATAAGATCCATTTTATATATATATATTAACATTTAATTTTTTTTTCAGAGACTGATGAAGGAATGTATGGTGAGACTTATATATTGTGAAATGCTTGGGTATGAATCTTCCTTTGGCTATATACATGCTATCAAATTGGCTCAACAAGGAAATCTCTTGGAGAAGAGAGTTGGTATGTTAGTAAAATTTCTGTCTTTTAATATTGTCTTTGAATCTGTGGCCATCATGTCCATTGAATTAAAGCAGACATGGTTTATGTTTTTATTAGAGCTGAATACACTGCAGTCTATAGACTGCTTAACAACAGTTCACGTTCACACAGTGCTGTAGAGTTTAAAGAATTTTATATACAGTATCTCATTTGATCTTCACCAGGTATGATGTGTAGGTGCTATTATTATACCCATTTTATGATGGAGGAAACTGACATTTACATTGCTGAACATTTGTGTTAATGTTATTTCTGTGTTGTTTAAGATTTTTACTGGTGAATGGTTGGACAAAGCTATAGCTGCCATGGTTATCAAATTTGTAGATGATAAAGTTAGGTTAGAGAGATAGCTCATGTTGGATGACAGAGTTGGGATCCGAAAGGTTTTGATAGTCTAGAATATTGGGCCAAATCTCCTAAGATAAAATTTAATAGGGCTGAATGTCTTACACTTGGTTTAAAACAAAATCAAGCTCAGTATAAGAAAATGGTGATATGGCAGCAACAAAAATTAATATGCTCTTAGGCTTTAATTAGAAAGGCATAAAATATAAGACAAGGGAGGTAATAATATTGCTATATTCTGCCCTGGTCAGATAACACCTGATGTGTCATGTTCAGTTCTGGGTGCTATATTTGAGGAAGGATATTGATAAGTGGGAGAATAGCCAGAATGGTGAAGGGCCTCAGCATCATGCCATATGAGCATAGGAACTAGAGTGTTTTGCCTGGAAAAGAGAAGACTTATGGGATAATAATAATTGGCTTCAGGTATTTGAAGGGTTATCATGTTGCCAGAGGCTTAGATTTGTTCCTTGTGGCCCCAGAAAGCAGAGCTAGGACAATGGAAAGTTGTAAAGAGTCAGATTTAGGCTTGATGTAAGGAAAAGCTTCCTAATAATTAAAATTATCCAAGCACGGCTTGGACTGCTTCAGGAGATAAATATGTTTTACTTCATTGGTGGTCTTCAGGCAAAGATTGGAAAATCGTTTTTCAGGTATGTTGTAGAAGGGATTCTTTTTTAGGCATGAGATAGTAGTGACTGTCATGGGAAGGCAATGGAAAGAGCACTGGCTTTGGCATCAGAGAATCTGAGGTCAAATACTGATTGCCATTTACTCCTGTGTAACTTTGGATGAATCACTTAATTTCTCTGGGCCTCAGTTTCCTTGATTGTAAAATAAGGGGGTTGGACTAGATCAGGGGTTCTTCACCTTTTTTTGTCACAGACTGCTTAGCATCCCAGTGAAGCTTATAAACTTCTCAGAATAATGTTTATCAAGACATAAAATAAATAGGATTACAAAGGAAACCAATCATATTGAAATACATATCAGAATATTACTGATATCAGAATATTAGAAATACTTACCAGAATATTAAAAAACATGTTCATGGATCCCAGGTTAAGATTCCCTCAACTAGATAATTTTTTAAGATCCCTTCTAGCTATAAATGTATGGTCTTATGGTTGCTGAGGGCCTTTTAAACTTGGAAATTCTGTGATTCTGAAGAAGGGCGTTTGAATTCATTTTTAAAGGATGGGTAGCAAACTCAACTGGCACAGGGAATGGAGGACATTTCAAGTACTGTCTCTGCCACTTACTACCTGTGTGACCTTGGGTGAATCACTTAACTTCTCTGGGCCTCAGTTTCTTTGCCTGTAAGGTGAAGGGGTTGGGAACAGCAATAGGGAACACTGAGCAAAAGTACAGAAGTGTGAAACTGTTTTTGGAGGATAGAGAGTTGCAAAGTTTGATTAGGTTATAAAGTTCTTGATGGGGAATAGTATGAGATAAGGCAAGTAAAGGAAGGTAGTGCCATACTTTATAATGTCTTGAATGCTAGACCTAAGAATTTGAACTTACTTGGGAAGCATTGAAGAGCCTTGAACATTGGAGAGATACGACCATATCTGGGTATAAAGAAGATGAATCTGGGAGTGACTATATAATAGATGGGGCAGAGTATGGAAGTGGGAAGAACTGTTAGGAGATTATTTCAGTAGTGTAGTTGTGTGTTTCTGAAGATCTTTACTAAGATGGTGGCACTGAGACTAAAGAAGAGGGACAGGATGCAAAAGATATTGCAGAGGTACCAACAGAACTTAGTAACTCATTAAATATGAGAGGTGAAGAAAATGAATATGGAAACCTGAGGTGAGTAATATTGGTGCCACTGTTAGAAATAGTGATGTAGAAGGGGGAACAGATTTAAAGTGAAAGATAATAAAGTTGGTCTTGGACATTTTGATTTTGAGGTGAGGATATAGACAAATTGGGTTGTAGTGGGCTTGAAGAGGATCAGGACTGATCAGAATAAGGATGAAGTCTCTAGAGGAGGCAGTATGGATTTGCAGTTTACATAGAAAATTGTGAAACGGGTTGCCTGGGATTGGGGAGGTAGAGTGAAGTGGTATTATAATACTATGGTGAAGGGGTCACTTAATTAATCTTAAACAATAGAAGAATTTGATAACTTTGCCTGCTCCAAAGTTCTAATATTGCTTGCTGTCTTTGTATGTCTTCTTTCTTCATATTGCAAAATTTTTTCAGGGCCTCTTTCCGGGCAGTGCCCATCACAGTGTCTTGGACATAGTAGGTACTTGATAAATAATTGTTAATGATTGACTTACAGTTATTGTGCATAGTTCTGGCTGTGATCTGTCTCTTGGTCTTCAGTGTAACTTCATGGCATGTGACTGAGGTACTTTTCCTTAAGAAACAAGTTTCCATTGGCTACTAGAAAGAGAGATAGTTGGAGGTACCATATCACTTACTCCTATCTGCTTACTAATGGAAAGAAATGTATAGTCCATGGAGCAGTTACGTAATAAACACCCAATTGCCTCTTCCCCTCAGCTGAGATATAGCAGGGTTTCTCTGCCTTCACTTATTGACCTCATTTCATCACAAGACTTACATTGGTGGGGTGGGCGGGGTGGTGTTCAAGTTGAGCTGAGGTGAGTTTTCAATCAGTCTGAAAAGACCTGAGCTCTGCTTCATAGGCTGTCTTAGGGAGAGCCTTTCTGACCTTCATTTCCCACCTGGCTGCTCATCTGGACTCTAGCAACTCATTTTCCTGCAAGATTTAATGAGCTCTGAAGCTGTCACCTTTTCAGTACCCTTTGCCTCTTGTGCCTCTCTCTCCCTCTGATGGGAGAGATTGGGGTGGACTTCAGAGAGCCTCTCCCAGATCCTGTGTTTAAGGAAGGGACCTCGAGAAGTCAGCTTATCATTTCCTACCTGGCTGCAGGATTTCATGCCCTTAGCTGGGTGCTCTCCTTCCTTTCTCTTCTCCACCGCTTGCTTTTCAGCTTCTTTTTATGTGTTGTCTTTCCCCATTAGATTGTGACCTTTTTGAGGGCAGGGAGTGATTTTTGCCTTTCTTTGTGTCCTCAGTGGTTAGCACAGTACCTGGCTCATAGAAGGCACTTAATAAATATTTATTAAGTGACTGCTTCTTGCAGTTCCACTACCCCTCTTTCCTGGCATCCCTGGAGTCTCCACCTCTGCTAGTCTTTTTTCATTTCAGGGGTGATGCTGCCTATCTTGTAGATACAGCTTTTAGCTTATAATGAGATCGGGGTGTCTGCTATGTCTAAGTCTGTTCTTCTTTGGCTTGGGATAGTCAGTAAGAGTGGCAGATAATTGCAAGATGAGGACAACCTTGGGGTCCTCCATCTGCAGAGCTGAAGTATGATAAGGGATGAAGTGCACCTTGTCAGTGGGGCAGTCTGGTAACCAGTCCATGTAGGAAGAATAGCAGAAATAAAATAGTGTGAGACATCCACATTCATAGGATCACAGATTAGAGATGGAAGGGACCTTTAGAGGCCATCAAGCCCAAGTCCTTCATGTTACAGATGAAGAATGATGGCAGTGTGGTTTAGTAGAAAGGATTGATGAGTTTGAAGTTAGATGCATCTTGGCTCTGCCACCTACTGCTTGTGAGGCACTGGCTTCTCTTTAGTTTCCTCATCTGTAAAACGAGTGCTTGGATTGGATGACCAACCTTCTAAATCCCTTCCAAATCCATGTCTATGTTCCTTTGATCTCTGAGGGATTTAATAAGGTATATCTGTATGTTAAGTAGCAGGCCCTGGAATCAAACTGAGGTCTTTGGTTTCTAAATCCAGCCTACTTTCTACCATGCCATGCTCCCTCTTGGAATATTTTGGTAGAATTGTTTTGTTTTACCTATTCAGTTTTTGAGTTCTGTAAGTTAAGAATTTGAGTAACATCATGCAGCTTGCCCAACAATGCAACTGTACAATTCCTTCAGCAATTTTTTTTTTTTTTTTTAAAGGCAATTGAGGTGAAGTGACTTGCCCAGGGTCACACAGCTAGTAAGTGTCAAGTGTTTGGTCTGAGGCCAGATTTGAACTCAGGTCCTCCTGACTTCAGGGCCGGTGCTCTATCCACTGCGCCACCTAGCTGCCCCCTAGCAATTTCAACAAAATTTTATTAGTTCGTACCTAACCATTTTTTATGTGGACTATTTTGCATGAAAGTACAGAAATTTTCTAAAAAATAGCTATAATGACATATAAGGTTTGGATACTTTTAAAAAACTTTTCAAAAAGGTTTTGGAAATCTGAAAAACCATTAAATTTTAGGCCTCTTTTTCAGATACATGCTGTAATTATGGATTACATAATTGTCAAAGACAAGCCAGTTAGAATATAGTAGAAAGACCACTAGGTTTGTAGTCAGAGAACCAGAGTTTGAGTCCTAGCCCCAGCACATACTAGCTGTCTGACCTTGGACAAATACTTGAACCTCACTGGCCCTCAGTTTCCTTGTGTATAAGATGGGGATAATAATACTGTCCTAGTTCATCAAGTTGTGAGCAAGTGTTTTGTAAATCTTAAAAGTGCTTTGTAAATGTGAGCTATTATTATAAGAAGAATCTGTAATCATTTACCTCATTTTGACAATAATATTCTTTGGATCTTAGAAAAATGTATAATCTGTTTTCCTATTTGACCCCTAACTTGTATCACTAATGCTTGAAGTTTGGTATACATTGCTTTATGTAACCATTTTGATTTATTTTTGGAAAGTAGTGATGAAGGGATTTTTTTTCCTTATTGTCTTTTGTAGGTTATTTGGCAGTTTCTTTATTTCTACATGAAAACCATGAATTGTTGCTTCTCCTTGTGAATACGGTTGTAAAGGTACTATTTATATAGCCAGTTTGGGAAATATCATTATGATTTTAATCTTTAGAAAGTACTTGAGATTTCTCCTGTTGGCTTTTTGAATGAAGATCATTTTAGAAGAAGTGGAGCAGTAAGGGGTAGTCCTCATTTGCCAATTACTGGATTCTATCCATACTATAATTCCCCACTTGCTTTTGACTGAAAAAGGGCACTGTTTGAAAGGAAATAGGTAGAAACAACACCACTATCACCATCCCTAGTACAGAATTAATAAGTACTTCCGTGTTCTAGAGACTGGAAGAGCTAGTCTATATTTTTTTTTAAACAGGAAAGATGTTGGAGACTGTTCTGCCATGGTAATATCTGATAGAAATGGCAGCAAATTTTCTGTTGTCTATTTTAATAGAGAAAAGAAAATAATGGGGTAATTGAAATCCCTTTATTTTAGCAAATAGTTACCACTTTCCACCCTCTAAACCTTTATTCCCCCCAAATTGCTGCTAATTCATAATTGATTGTTTTGAATTTTCTCTCCGTATCTTTCTTGTGTATATCTTTTGATGGATATATTAATGAGCAGTGAGTAGGAGATAAAACAGAAGGCCTTAGAAAATCTAGAAGCTCTTTAACCAGCTTCTGAGTACTTGAGGGCTATTTTGCTATATTTTACAATTCTTATTAAGGTAGACTTGAGGGCCTCCAGGCTATATCTAGCGTAATGGTATATTTGAGTTGGTTAGTAAAGCCTCAGGAGTAGGTAGATAGTTCTGTTTCAACTCCTCTTTCATAGAGTGCTAATTGTAAAATATAACTTTTTTTTGATGAAAGTTCTTTTTTTATCCAACCTGTGGATTATCTCTGTCCTACTTCCAGCTGCTGTCTGTCTTTTGGCCATTTGAAATTTCATTAACATATGTATCAAGAGATAGGCAGGAGAAGTTTATAGAGACTGTTTAAAAAATTTGCAGTACTTCCTTTTTTAATCCCTATCCCACATGTCATTTAAAATATATATGTAGTATTGTCCTAAGGATAAACACTACCCCTGCAATGTAAAATTACCATGCATTTTAGGTTTAGAATTTGGAAAGAACAAAACAGATCATAATTCTCTAGTGAATATTGTGTTTAGTCTGGAAACTAAACGATCAAAATGTTAAGGACAATTCATGACAACGCTAGTGTACAACTCTGGAATCTCACTGCCTTAACATTTAACATTAATTTTAATTTTTTTCTGAATTCTTCCACATTTTTTCCAGATATTCTATATGCTAGAAATAGATTTTTAAAAGTTTATAATCTAGGTAATACTATGAATCAAAGTCTGACAAATTAAATTATTGAGTGGAAAAGAAAGTAGTAAAATAGTTTTTGCCTTTGATCTAGTAAATTACTTAGTATAATGTCTCCCTTCCTAAACCCCTGAGGGGGCCAGAGAGTTATTACAAAGGGACCTTCAAGTGCCTATGCTGATAAAGCACATTTTGTTCTTCATTTGGGTCCTCCAAACTATAAAACCTAAAAAAAATAAAGAGATTTTCTGTTGAAAGTTATATGTTATTGATTTTTTATTTTTTTCTAATAGGAAGTTTTTTTTTAGACCTTTGGAATGAAAACTTTTTTTTTTTAGCTAGGTCACTTCTATTTAAGTTCACAGTCTGAGTTGTTAACTCAGGTTTCAAGAGGTGTCAAATTTGTTTTTTCATCAATGGCATAAACATTTATTTAAAAATTACTGAATATATATAGTAGCTTTTCATTAGCATTTATTTTCTCATTCAGCAGATACTAATTGTACAACCCTTATTATATGAGGGGTCTGCAAATTTTTTGACCTTAAAAAAGGTTCTCTTACTTAAAAAGATTATCAACTACAAGCGTAGTCAAAAAACACTACGTTGATCAGTATGGGAAGGGAAGTACAATTTCATTTTCTTTCCACTGTTTGTATTCTAATTTATGTTTTGACTTTGTTAAGGCAAATTAAATGGGAATTTCCTGTATAAACTACTAGTAAACTTGCATGAAATGAATGAATCGTGAATTGATACCAGTCAACAGAAAAACAGTAAAATTATAGAATTCACAGTACTTTTGAACTAAGCTTCATTAAAAACTTAACCCATGGAGTGTCCAAATGTGCAACAATTGTAATTTTCTTTGATTAATAATCTTGATAGGACTTGCAGAGCACAAACTTGGTGGAAGTATGCATGGCGCTTACCATCGTCAGTCAGATCTTTCCTCGAGAAATGATTCCTGCTGTTCTTCCACTTATAGAGGACAAGTTACAACATTCTAAGTAAGTCAATCCATTGTTTAGATACTTCGCTAAAATAAGTTTCAAAAGATTGAACTTGAATGTTTGTCATGGCTGTAACTTAAAGTGGTGTCGATGCTAGAGGATGCACTGTAATAAGAGCTTCATAGATTCTGTAAGGGTTTGGCAGTGAATGTGGTTGATGCCAAAGTCACCAAACAAATGTAGAAATTTTCCAAAGCACAGTCTTTTATCTTAAATGAGAAGCAGAGGGGATAGTACCTACCCTTTCTGCCTCAAAAAATTATATGGAAGCTAAGTTGAAAAAATGGAAAAGATTTTTAAAAAGTGTAAGTATAATAAAAATGAAGGGTGATATTATTTTGAAGATGCCTTATTTTATATCAAAGCTACATCCCCATTCCAAGAGATACGTGAGAGTAAACATTAGCACATGGTCTTTTACTATTCTTCCGTTCTCTTATGTGTCCTTAACTCAAACTTTCTACTTGAACCTTTCCTTCTGAGATCAAGATTTTATTTTATTCTTTTTTTTTTTTTTTTGTGCTGGGCTAGGCCTCTCAACCTATTAACTTTCCCTAAGTTTGGAAACACTTCTCATTTATGGTACATTTTTCTTATTTCTAAAGTAACTTTCCTTAATAGCATCTAAGAGCTTTCAGTTTTCCATCACATCTTTGTTAATGAATTTTTGTGGTTATTAAGACCATATTTCTTTATCTTTTATGCTTCTTGAAGTGATGCTTCCCAGTGTTTCTCTCCCTTATAGCTTATGCCTTTGAGACAAATCTTGGAAAGTGAATCTTCTCAGCCAAAAGACTGTCTGCTACTGAGGTTCCCTACCTTAAATGCCTTATTTTTAATTTGCATAAAATTAATAATTTTATCTTACCAACACTTAGAATAGTATTAACCATTTATACTAGTGGTGTTACACATCATCTTTAATGGTGTTAAAAGATTATTTTAAACCTGTAAGAGTGTGCCAGTGTCAGGTTTGTAATTATATCAGAGCACAGAGTGAAGAAGTTTAATTAACATAAGGAGCATCATTTACTTTTCTTTGGTAATTGTAGATTACCTTGATCATAACAGCATATGATTGTTCCTTAAAAAAGTATTAAAGTGGCCAGGATGATTGATTTATGTATGGTACACCTCAAAAAGTTGAGAAATGAAAGGTCCGTACATTTTTAATTGATATTTGTCATCTTCCCATTGTGATTCATCCTGTCTTACTCCTATTCCCTATCTACTACTTGTTGAACTTTGGAAAGTATCATTGTTGCAAAAGTCATTGCTTATTCCTCTGGAGCTAGAGAAATTGGGAAGGAAGCCAGAGGAAGCCAGAAGGTTACCCAAGGAAGATTTAAGACAAGGTTGGGACTAGTTGTTCTATGTCCACAGCAAAGTTTCGCCAACTCGGAACAAGGATTAGAATCAAGGACTTCTGACTCTCCATCTGATGCTCTCAGTTTGGGTTGTGCTTTCAACTGTGGCAAGAACTTTGTAATTACTTCCATTCCCTATTACTATTAAAACACTAATACAGAATACCCTAACAGTCCTGGGGGAGTCTAAGCCTAATCTGCTTCTCTTTTCATAGAAAAAGAATTATATAAGTGCCAGAAAAAAAATACTAGGGGTATCAGAAATAGGACTAACATTTTTTTTTGATCCTTTCCATTCTAACCCTAATTACCCTTTTTTGATCTGTTGTTCCTTCACCATAAACCTCCTACCAGCTGTCCTCTTCCCATTGCCTAAGGTTGTTACTATTTCAGAAAATATAAGGTACACAACTAGGCTTAGAACACCAACTCTAGTTTCCCAGTAGACTGTAAATGCCTTGAGGGTGAGGACAGTCTCATTTTTGTCCCTGTATTTCCAGCATTCAACATAGTGCTTTTTACATTCTTAAAATGTCTCAGATTGATGAATTGAATTTCTTAAGGCATCATGGGGTAGAAAAGAAGGTTCTAGAGAAAAATCTTTCTGTCTTGACTATCCCTGCTTTCCTTTTCAAATCTTAATAAATTCAGAAGCAAAATGGAATATTTAGTTACCCAGCTGTCACAATGGATATGCCAGAAGGAAGTTTTGATTTCAAAATAAGAGCTTCTACTTTGAGCTTCAATTTTTGGTTTAGAAATAGTCTTTCTTTTTTCAGCCTCTTTCACAGTTCTGCCTCTACTTTTATTTTCTTTTACTCCACAATACCTAATATAGCTTTCTTTTCTTGACTTCCTTATCCCTGCCCATTACTCAGATGGGAGCTGAAATTTAAAAGTCAAACAGCTGGTAGATGAGAATCAGGATAAGCAGTAGCAGCAGTTTTTGGCTCTGTTGAGAGCCTTAGTCAGTACTCACTGTCTAATTATAAGATGGGTCAGCACCTTCTTGTTCCCAGAAGATAAGGCCAGGAGTATACCAGGTATCTTAACAGGTAATCCAGCTGGGCAGTTTTGTCAGAATACAAATTGCCTTATTTTACACAAAAATGCTGGCAGATTTTATTAATTCTGCTGTTTTAGCCTATTGGTCAAGATAAAAAATCTAGATGTCACAGAGGGCTGAGGGAAGAATTGTGCTTTAGTCTCTTGAGTTAGAGTTTGTTTCTTAGAGTTGAGGCTTACATTTTTTGCCTCTTTAAATTTATCTGAATGAATTGATTTTGTGTCTTTACCTTTTGAAAACGTTTTTTCTAATAATGTTGGTTCTAATATTAATTAATATGACCTCAAATTTAGGATTGAGGACCAGATCTGTTGTCCAAGGCTGGTCTCTCAGTCACGGTATAAGAAAGTTACTGCTTTTTTTCCCCACCTATATCACATGAGAGGAAGAATTTTGTGCTGTTGGGGTGTGGTGCTTTAGAATAGAGAGGCAGCCTGGCATAGGGGCAACTAATGTG